TGGTGGGTGTGGCAAGAGGGGCCTGATTTTCTATTTCATGGCTCTGAAACCAAACTAAATTGAAGGCTATAAAAATTATGGTTTGTCTGAGCAATGATGATTTTATGGTAAAGTAATTTCATGTTCAATTTCATACTTATTGGAGGAGTGGTGAATAAAATAGAGAAGAGAGGATGCCTAGAGAAAATGTTACATTTCTCACACTAGGGGAAATTCAGAATTTTTAAAAATATTGCCTTATAAAATTAAGAACTTAAAACTTATGTACTATTAAAATATGGATTATTAGCTACAATTTTATCCTATACTAATTGGTATAACATAAACAAGAAGTAGTTTAATTAACTTTTGAAAATAACTCGCTAAAAGACTAAGACATGTGCAGTTAGGCCTAGCTATCGGGAAAAGGTTAAAGCAATTCAAAATTACAGTACAACGAACTAGTAAAATTGTGCATATATTTAGCTGCAGTGCTGAAAGAGTTAAGTCACAAAGTTGATGTGGTAGTTGAACTTCAAAGTCTATCTACAATTTTCCCAGAGACATTTGATGCTCTTGAAACTGTTTCTTGTTTTAGCAGCAGTATATCCAGTGATTGCTGCTTCTGTTGAAAGTGAAAACCCATCTGAGATAATCCATGTCTCAGGAGCATTGCACAGGATTGGTTGCAAGAAAGTTGGGATTTTCAGAAAGTTTTTAAGAACTTTTCACATGTCACACTTTAATGAACATATAAAAGCACTTGAATATTAGAATTTATATTTCTAAGTAGGTAAGACTTTTATACTAAATTTATGTATTAAAATGGACCTACAATTAAATACCTTGCATATTGCCTATAATTTAGTCACGATGGCCCTAGTCTCATCGGTATTCAGATATTTGTCCCTTTCTGTCTTCTCTTATTTTGATGTCTTTCCTGGTTCTCTATTGTTATTATTTATGAATTAATTAGAGCTGAGAAATTAACTTGATTAGTAAATGTAACTGATTACTTGTGAAATCAGTGTTACATAAAATAATTGATTAATTGAAATTATGATTAAATTTATTATTGCCATGAAAATATTTAACTAATCGAAATAAGTTGTTTTAATTGTTTTCAGTTATTCCATCTATCTTAGTAATTGAAATACTGCCATTATGATATCTGATTGATAAAAATTGGGTTTTGGTAGTCGTGGTGGGCACAGCACAGACAGCCCATTAAGTAGCTTTGTGCTTAACTACAAATAAACAAACAAACCGATTGTTATTTTTGAAGAATTCATGGTTGTTTAGCTTAATTGGATGGTGTCACAACTCATAAAAGTATTCAACTAATTTAAATTGATATTCCTGATTATTACTATTTAAATTATTTAAACTCTCCAAGTCTCATTTGAATAATTGATCAGTTTGATGGAATTGATTAATAAGCCAGATTATTAATTGACTAGTAAATTCCAATAATTGCCCAGTTATAGAATTCTCATTCTACTGTGATAAACACTTTTTATGAGAATAATAACCAATATACTGAGTGAATGCTAAGTTTTAGTTTTGAGAAATGTTTTATATTTTACTTAATTATACCAGTAACAATGTTTTTGTTCGTAAAATTTATTAATAATTCATGTTTTGATTCTTCTTTTCTGTTGTCCTCCAACAGGTTTGATTGAAGAGATGTATGAAAGGATTCAGTCTGAGCCCTCTCCTCCACATCACTTGATCCGATTCATGGCTCATCTTGTTCTCTTTTTACGTACTGTGGGGCGTTCAACTAAGGAGGAGCTCTGTGTTACTATAATTGAAGCTTTTGTTAAAGTTAGTATGGAGTACTTTGTTTGGAAAATCACTTTCTTGTAAGCTGGCTTCATTTACTAGGATAAATACTCTTTGTCCTTGTTTATGAACTGTTACTGTAGTATTTTCATTTTCTCTATTTTGTTACAATTAGATTTAATTATAATTACCATAAATCTTTACTATTTTGGTGGACATATTTTGCACCAAATATCATCCCAATAAAAGTAACAAACAGGTGAAACTGTAGTTCTCAAGAATAAAACAGTTAACAGATTCCTTGAGAGAAGACTTATCTGCTAAGGAATTTTGTTCTTTGCTACTTTCACAAAATGAACATAAGTAATAAATATGGTAACTTTTGAGTGTTTATCTTATTCTGTGACATAAAAATTCTGTTGTTGACCTCTAGGTACTGATAGAAGAAAAACAGAACTGTTTGGTTTCCACCTATGCTGCCCATTTGCCACCACTATTACAAGTGGCTTGGTATGCTAAATTTTTAGAGGGTGAGTTGACAGTTATCATGAGTATGAACAATTTAAAATATCTGGATCAAGAATTGACATTATTTCAAGTCTATTTTATAGGGATGAAAGAAAAAATATATATATGTAATTTTATCCATTGAAACTACTTGGTATAATTTTTATGATGGTTGCTACACTCCCAATTGTAATGATTATGAGATGTGTAAATATTCTAAGTTATAATAAGTCTTCTGTTTGTTTGTTAATGTTAAATTGTTTTCTAATTTTGAAAAAGATAGACGAATATTTTTTGATTATTATGAAATGAGATGATGGGAATTTAAACTAGTAGGCCTACATATATTTATTTCAAGTGAATACCTTATTCTCTAATTAATTGAAATGTTATTATTTAGATTTTAATATTTTACCTCTTTTGTTTTGTAACAATTTTGTGTGGAAATCTCTGTATAAGGATGGTTTTATTAACATAAAAGTTACTTTTTATTCTGTTCTACAGTTAGCTTAGTTTTTAGCAGAAGTTCTTAATAATATATGTCAAGAACAAAGTAAAAGTTACAAGACTGTAAAAAACATTTCCAGTTCTCTCTCTCACACAAAAAAATAATAATTTGTAGGAAAGATTGAAATTACTCACTTATTTACAGTTAGTTAAAATGTCTTTTGTGGTTAAAAAGGATGAAAGTATAATTTCAAAGATAAATAAGTTAGTCTCGGTAATTTGTAGAATTGAAAGCAATCAAAGCTAATAATGTTCACTACTGATTGTATGTTGTAAATACTAATTGTATTTGTATCCATATGAAAACTGCCTGTTGTGCATTAATTCTTTTTATTTGCACTTACAGGTATCAAAGAGCCATTAGAACGACAGCGATGTTTACAGCTTGCAGAAAATATGGGCTTAGATGTACCCCTTATTACTAAAACTGTAGTAGAGAACATTAGGTCTGTAGGAAGAGAACCTCTGAAGCCTTCCTCAGAACTTACTTCAGACACTACTGAAGTATGAAAGACTTTGTTTTTTTTTCAAGGGTACTACTCCTATAGTTAATTGTGTGATTAATCCATTAGGTTATTTACATTACAAATTTTTCTTTTCTGAGAGATATATGATTTTTAACTGTAGTTTACTTTGCTCATTATAATAATTGAATGATAATACATTGCCATTCATAAAACATTACATAACAATGATGCATAAAATAAGTGTTGATTTATCTATGTGTATTTTTCATACTTTTTTGGTGGTAAAGTTAAGAAATTAGTAATATAATTGTTATTTTTATCTTCTCCATTGTATTCTTTTAAGTATATACAAAGCTACTTTGCCATTCAATAACACCTGGACTTGTCAGTAACATTTTAAAATAAAATAATAATTTGTTTGTGTTTGATTGAGGCTGGAAGTGAAAGTTTTTTGTTAGTAAAAATCATTCCTTGAAACAAAGAAACTTTTACTTTTGTTTGCAAACTTATTGTTTTCACTTCCCATTAAACTGTTGTCAAAGACAGAATACAGCTTAGAAATCTCAAACAAGCAAAAAATTTGGTTGATTTGTGTATAGTTTTCTTATTCTACAAGCTTTTCCACTTTCTTGAGCACAGTAAAAATACTGTTCTCTTTGTGAGTTTGAATCAGAAGTGGGTGAGTAATGAAATCTAATAGCATGCTATTTATAGTTTAAGATATACAGGAAGAAATTTATTGTTGATCAACTTTGATTTATAACTAGATAAATTTTCATGATGTTTTCATAAACGTTACAGCTGTTTATAATTCTGTTTCAGTGTTTTATTCTTAAAATATACAACTATCTCATGTATTCAGATGTAAGTTTAATCTTTTTCAGGAAGACTTACAGAAGATAGAAGCTATTGACTGGCTGGTTTTTGATCCTTCCCAGAGAGCTGAGGCAGTTAGACAAGCTAATGCACTAATGAGAGTATTTGTAGGTAAGTTATTTATATGATTTTGTTATCCTCATATACATCATTTGTGTAATTATTTACATTATCACAAGAAAAGTGAATTTCTTTAAAATGAAAAGTTTCAAATGATATTTTAATGTATTTTTACCACATGGATGGTTTTCCATCTCATAACTAAAATGCTTAAAGAGAGATTTATGAGAAAGAGAAGAATTTTATAAGATTCATTTGATCATTATGTTAAAGATGTTGGACAGTTAGAAACACAATACATTTGTATTTATATTTAAGTACTGTAGAAATACAAGTTAAAAATTACAGCCAAATCACTTTTCAATAATTTGCCACTACCCCAGGCCTTCAAGCTCCCAAGGTTAGTGCAACAGCCAGCCTTTGCGATTGCTTGATTGAAAAATTGGGGCAGAGGCAAGTGATGTCACTCAAGGTAAAGAAAGCTAGTTGTGGTCTGCTTCCTCTCTATGTACCATTTTGTGCATGGAAAACTGTCAGTTTGTTTATGTGAAAACAATTCGTTTTTTTTTCTGGACAAATTTCATTTGACAGACATCATTAATACAGTTATTTGTGAGTAAGTTGTTCCAGGATGTAAACAACTGTGGTTTTTTTACTGTGTTGTTTATGGATGTGAGAGTATTCCCAAGGAAAAGGAGGTATCTCTGCATGAGTTTCCACCTAAGTCAGACAGAAAACTACACATGGCCTGGACAAAATTCATATCAAGAACTCATGATAAATGGAGTCTGACCAAAAACTGCCATGTATGCGGTGAAAACTTTTTGGAATCAGACTGAAAATAAACTACAGTTTGATATGGGACTTGCAAAAAAAACTGGGGCTAAAGAAAGATATAGCGCCCAATGTGTATCCAAAGTTTGAGGGAGATCCATCAAGCACAGCGAGCAGCAGCCAGGCTCATGCTTTTTGAAAATGAAAGGCATACAGGATAAGCTTAAGTTTTAGCTACTTTTTTAAATGCAATTTAGAATTGTCAGCATTAATTCAATTTTCATAAACACATCAGTAGATCTGCTAAAACAAAAAATGTTTATGAAATTTCACTTTCAGTTACTATTTACCAAAAAAAAAAGGGCATGGACAAACAATTGTCTGTTTTATCTATTTATTTTTCATGTTTATAACACTTTTTTTTATGAAATTTTACTGTAGATGTCAATATGCAACATGAAAAAATGCTAGATCTGCAACTTTGAAATGTTACCTAAGGTGTTGTAATGTTAGTAGATAAAAAACAATTTGAACAACTGAAAAGGGTTGTCAAACATTTTGTGAGAATCTGCTCCCCCTGTCTAGCTGAGTAACAAAAGTTCTGTGGAGCAGACATGTGATTCTCTCTCCAGTACACTTAAATGTATATGTCGTGAAAGAGTTGTGTTCATTCTTAACACAGAATGTAAACCAAATTATTATAGATCTCAGTGTAGTGGTCTTTGTTTCACCGGAATGGCCTATATATGTTTTTCTCTGATGCCAGCTGAAGTGAGCTGATTGACTTGGGTATGGTGACACCATATCTTGATGGCTCAGCTACTGGTTTTGACAAATGTTTAGGAAAGTAAATATATTTTACTGTGGGTTATTGTATTAGGCCTAGGTTTGTAAGAGTGTTGATTGATATATACTGTAATAACAGTAAGAATATTAATCCTGGTTGCTCCACATTTTTCTGAAAAGTTTTAATTTTGCTGAATTCTTCTTATGATTACTTGCTAGAAATTGTGTTGAGTTTAACAGTTCATTAATGGCAGCATGTTACAACACCGTAGCTATCAAGACATAGCTAATGGAGGTAACCTGTGTAGGTTAGCATGTTAATAGCATGTGAACTATAGGCAATTTGTCTAAAGCTGATAGTGTATGTGATGATGTGTAATGTTAGAATACATGTATATGATAATATACATGTATTATATAAAATGTTTGTGTGTGGTGCTAATCCAAATGAATGAAAAAAATGGGAAATCCTATAACCTGAGTGCTTTGAAAAGGTAGGCACTACTGGATCTTGGCTTTACATAATAACCAGATGGTAACAGAAGGAGTGTGGCTGGGTACCAGTATAGCTGAAACATATTTTCATGGAAATGATCACAGTAGATAACACAGTTGGATGTAAGTCAAACACAAGACTGATGGACCGGGATGTTCGGTGGTGGAAGGGCTACATTTCTACAGGAAATATACACGAGTACACGTAAGCCTGTTGAAATATCATTTGACCATGGCAGTAATTTGAGTACTCTCTTTCCAACAGATTTTAGGACAGAGAATTGTTGTAACAGAGCTGTTACAATTTTAACCTACACTTTTAACCAAAGTTCTGACCAACTGAAATTTGATTGACCTTTCATTTTAATCCTGACTTTTTCTGTTTAAGATGAAAGTCTAAACCTCTCAGTTTATCTTGTTTTTAACTAATCAGTAATGTTTATTTGTGCTATTATTGTATTACTGAGACTGTGAATTTATGGAAAATTTCCTGTTTGACAAATTGCGGATGTTCCTAAACACCCAGTCACATTGTAGACATCAGGGGCCAGCCTGACCTTCACCTTTGCAGAGCCCATGGTGAAGATGCATTGCCAGATGATACATTCAACATAAGGGAACTGACAGAGGCCAACAGTGGACTGGCCCTGAAATTGTCAGTGCTGCTACAGACCAATTGATGATCGTCAATCCACTGGAAAAGGGTTCTTCCCAACCCATAATACCTTTGGCAGCAGGGCAGCTGTTGATGCACAGTTTACCAATGATGTTGACACCTGAGACCACTTCAAAACCAGACAGGCCAAAACCATCAGAGACATCAGGAATCCAAAAAGAGAATCTTCAAGTATCCCATCAGGGTTGTTTTGTTAGGAAACAAAATTACCACTGCCTGTACCTCCTGCACTTCAAGTGGGACCACCACGTTCCTTGACCATGAAAACTTTCTCAGAGCTGTAGTCTCTGAGGAGATATTCCAAATGCTGGAAAGATATACCAATGTCTACCACTTCAAGGGCATCAGCTATTTCTACTCAGCCATTGGCAGAAATATTCATGGCATTAATGTGGGGATATTAGTAATCACTGCTATGCTGATGCCAACTAAGTGGCACTTAGTAAAACCCCCCAGGGAAATCATAAAGATGCATGCCAAGTTTTTGGACAGCTTGCCAGTTATGAGGAGATACACACATGCATACTTTTGTCAAACAATGGTTGAGATTATGATGCTGACATCAGGTCATTAATAAACTTAAATTATCCCATAATGTTTTTTAATTTGTACTGCAAACTTTACTGATGAATGATAATGTTATTGCTATAAGAATTTTGATAATGGTATGATGTAATTATTGTAAGTGTTACAGATAATGTGATAGTGATTTGTTACAAACTTCTTGAAATGTGATGTTTTTCATTGCTACAGACACTTGCAAATGATACTATGGTATATAGTAAATGCACTGATAATGTGATGATGCAAAGCAAACGTTGTCTCAAATATTACAGATAATGTTACCGAGAATTTAAAGAGTGAAACACAACAACTTTGCTAATGATGTGATGTAATTGTACCAGTCTTGTGGTGAAATAGTTATCCTTATTTATGAATTGTGACAAGGCAAGATGTGCAGGTTTTGTTGATGATATGTTGATCATATTTTTGTAAAGCTTACTGGTGGTATTATGATGTAAATGATGTGATTTTTGTTTCAGCAAGCCGAAAGCTTGATGCAACAAGAAAAGTTTTTGCTAAAATACCTGCTGATTCTATAGATGTTATTTTTAGACAGTGGCGAAGAATGGTAAGTCCATTCTGCTAAATTAACTGCTATTACTAGAATACATAGCTAAAAGTGAATTTATAATATGGGATGAATATGTAGCATTATTTTAAAGAAAATACTTAAAATATTGAGTTATAGGGTAAGTAATTTCTACTATGCAGCATTTTTTATTTTTTAAGTCATTAAGGCTAAATAACAGGAAGTATGAATAATTGAACTACTATGAATTTTTAATGTAGTGTTAAAATTATTCTGAATTTTATAGACAGGAAGAACAGAGCTATCACCTGAGGATGACAATGCTACTCGAGAGTACATCTGTTTCCAAGCTTACTTGGTAGGCATACTAGAAAAATGATTCTTCTTTTATGTATATATATTAAAATATAAAACTTAAACTAGCAGTGTAATATAAATACAGTAATTGTGTGTGATATGGCTTACTGTCTGGTCAGCCATTTTTATAACGATTAAACAAACTGTGTGTCTGTGCAGAGTAATTAAAGACTAACTTTACATGTGTTCAGTGATTGCTATGGACATGCCTGGAGCTGTGATAAAAGCAGTTAGAGAACCATTTTGAAAAGTTTGAACAATATCAATGATTATGTCAGATGTACTGAAGATGGAACAACTTTTCAGTCAGAACAAAATAATACATTTGTCACTGTGTTGTACATGTAGTACTACTAACTCTCCAGATAAAACAACTGTTCACCTTTCCTTGTAGTATGCATGCGTAGTAATAGTAACCTTGCAGATACTAATATCTGTTCACTTTTCTTTTTGTTAAACATGTAGTACTACTAATCCTGCAGAAACGAACATCAGCTCACTTTTCTTTGTGTTATACGTGTAGTACTAGTAACCTACTATATACAAATATCAGCTCACTTTTTTGTGTTATACGTGTAGTACTAGTAACCTACTATATACAAATATCTGCTCACTTTTTTGTGTTATACGTGTAGTACTATTAACCTACTATATACATATATCTGCTCACTCCTGATGTTATACATATAGTACTGGTAATCCTGCAGATATGAACATCTGTTCACTTTTTTTTATGTTATACATGTAATTCTAGTAAATTTGTAGATACATATATCAGTCCACTTTTCTTTGTTATCCATGTAGTACTGATAACCCTACAGATATGAACATCTGTTCACTTTTCTTTGTGTTGTGCATATAATACTAGTAACCACGTAGGTATGACCATTAGTCCACTTTTATTTGCATATGAAATAAAAATAAAAAATGTAAGACCAACTCAACATTTTCTCTTTCAAAAACCTTTAAATTCTGGCACCAAATAGGCTCACTTATTCATCTGTGGGGGCATTATAATTAGATGATCAATTTCACTGTTCGTAGATAAAGAGAGGCTGAAGAATTTACAGTTGCTTTGTGTGTTCAGCAGTTTAAAATTAGGGATGACAGCATACAGCATTAGTAGCTTTGCCATTAACATTCAAGCAAACTTTAAATTCTTGATACAGCACTCGTTTATATTGGTGTAATTATATTTAACATGTTATGCATTATTTCAGTATTTCCATTTGTGCATTCTGCAGGAAAAATGTATTTTAGAAAAAGCTTTTATTGCAAATTTTTTAAGAATAATCTGAACTTAGCAAGTTGCTAATGTTGAAGTAGCCATGTTTTTAAATAATGAAAAAATATTTTACTATTTAAAATATTTCTTAGCATTTGTTCCAGTTACTTGGGGTTTGCTTTTCTGGTCCTTGCTCTCCACTTCTTCCTATTCTGTGTCAGAGTTACATTCACACTGCATTTTGTCATTTCTTCTTTAACTACATCCATTCATCTTTTTATCAGTCTTTCTCTCGTCCTTTTCCCTTCCAATGTCATATTTATCACTCTCCTACCAACATACTCCTCTTTTCTTTCCACATGACCAAGCCATCTAAGATGTAGTTCTCTAATCTTTGCTATAATTGGAACTGCTTTCATCCTCTCCCTAATGGTTTCATTCTTGGTAAACAAACATCATTTTCATTAAGTAAGGATTTGGCCCATTAGAATAATTTGATGTTGCCTACTATACTCACAAAATCTAACAAAGTTTATCTTATGTTTTCTCATAAAATAAGATTTTTATAGCATTTGAACAGACATAATTTAATACAAAAGCACTTTTACGAAAATGAGTATCTAAAAAATTTCCCAGCTCTGTGGTTTGTTTGTAAGTCTTCAAGGCCTCCCATTGAATGCCATTGGTCAATGCTCTGGGAGCTCTGACTAGCAGCTTTCTCACAAAACCATAAACTACTGTCCAAACCAATTTATTTGCTTTAACCCATTCAAGACGGGTCATAGGTGAAAGGCCATGTTATCTTGTTTGTTGACTTGCATTCAAAATTTTATTGAACTACTATTACATGAATTTATGTCAGTAAGTTTGGTATCAATCTGTAGATTATAATTCAAATTTTAGAACTATACATTACTCAATTTCTTAATTTAAAAGTAGATATTAAAAAAACACAGCTAAACATCGATTTTTGTGTGTCGTGCGGTATGTTGAATGCAGCACTGGTTCAAATTAGATGTTTGTGAAATCAAAATACTACGTCTATAGTTTTGTACGAATTAGAAACTCAAATTACAAATATTGACAAGCTAGAATATAAAACAAGAAGGTCTTATATTTTATATTTGCTAAGATATTGCTCATGTAATAAATCAAACACAGTTGCACCCCACCCTCTTTCCATTTTTTTTGGAAATGCTCCCTTATAAACACTTACTTCTATATGTGATATGAATAACCAATCGGAAGCTCAGAATGTCCCCCTAGTGGTTTTCTCAGCCTTTCTAATGT